ATAAACATATGGATGATAATGGAATAGTTTAGGTTAGATGGGCTTCAGATTGGTTTCACAGGTCGGCGCAACATCGAGGGCCGAAGGGCCTGTACTGCGCTGTAATGTTCTATGTTCTTTAAGAAAGGACAGAGGTGAGAGGGTGTCCCCTTTAAGAGAGAGGACTGTCCCTTTAAGGCCACGTCATTCACATGCTCATCTCTCTTGGGGGCCTGTTCTCTCTCTCTCTCTCTCCTTTTGCGCACCCACTCCCTTTTATTCCCTCCCCCGCCTCGCCTTCAAGTCCCTCACCTGCCGACAGACACAACATCGCCATCACCAGGAAGGCTCCCACCGCCAGCGGCTGCCTCCCTTTGCCTCTCACCGCCGCCATCTCTGCTCCGGGGAAGTGGCCGCCGCGCTGTACCACGGGAAAGGCCCTGTCGCCGAGAGGTCATCCAGCCCCGCCCCTCTGGGAGGACAGGCCGGCCGCACTGCCTCCCACCTGCACCGACCCATTCCCAGGGAGAGTCCTCCGGCCCCACCCTTCTGGGAGGACAAGGCGGCCGCGCAGCCGCACTGCCTAGCCACCCGCCGGACCAGAATCCATCAAGTGAAGACGAAGTCCTCCTGCCCCGCCCCTCTGGGAGGACTGATCGGCCGCGCAGCCGCACTACCTCCCTCCGGCGCCGAGGGATTCCTCCAGCCCCTCCCCTCTGTAAGGTGCAAAAACGCTGCCCCCTGCCCTACAATGAAGCTACATGGAGTCACGCGCACCCGCTCCTCGCCACGACACACCCGCGAGGAGACTGAGTCCTCCAGACACGCCCCTTTGGGAGGACTGGGCGGCAGGCTCCCAACCATAAACGGACAGGGAGGGTTCTCCAGCCACGCCTTCTCTGCGAGACCACGCCCCTGCCATGAACTAACATTGGAGTCCTCCAGCCACGCCTTTCTCGGAGGACCATTGGCATATCCTCACTCTGGCATCACTTCCTTAAAAAAGAATTTAATTTTTTTGCCAACATCTTGCAAGGAGGGGTAATGGTGGCTCCTAATGGGAGGGGGAGGGCCGGCACCACCCAAACCATCCCCTTGAGCGGTGTGGGATGGAGTGAAATCGCAAAATTGGTGGTGAACTGTCAGTCATTGCCAACAGGGTTGTCAAGCTACACGGCAAAGCCTCCGATCTGGCACTTGCCACCTGGCCCTCTCACTCATTGAGGCGACAACCATCAGTAAGACTGTAAGAATTAGGCCATTCGGCCCATCGAGTCTACTCCACCATTCCATCATGGCTGGTGTGTTTCTCAACCCCAATCTCCTGCCTTCACCCTGTGATCCGTGGCCAATAGCAGAGCACTTAACAAGCAGGATCGTAAAGCTGAACACATTCTCTTTACTTCTTTATTCTTCTGCATTTATATTCTTGGTTTTGGTTTATTTTTCTGGGTTTTAAGATGACGGCAAAGAATGGCGATTCTATACAACGCTTTTCACTGCATTTTGCAACAAATGCGGGTGACAGTTAAGAAATCAAATCAATAATCAAGAACCTATCTATTTCTGCACTCAATGACTCAGCCTCCATAATTCTTAGTGGCAATGAATTCCACAGATTGACCACAGTAGATATTGGTAGTCACAAACAGCAAACCTCAGAGGAACTAGTCCTAAAGAATAGTTCTGAGGAAGGGTCATAGAGTCAAACAGCCCTGGGGTGTGTTGTCGAACACAGAGATCTGGGAGTGCAGGTATATAGTTTCTTGAAAGTGACATCGCAGGTAGACAGGGCGGTGAAGAAGGCATTTGGTACGCTCGCCTTTATTGGTCAGTGCATTGGGTATAGGATTTGGGACGCCATGTTGTGGCTGTCTTGGTAAGGCTACATTTGGAGTACTGTGTACAATTCTGGTCACCTTGCTATAGGAATGATGTTCTTAAACTGGAAAGGGCGCAGAAGAGATTTACATGGATGTTTGTAGACTGGAAGGTTTGAGTTTTAATGAGAGGCTGGATAGACTGGGACTTTGTACCCTGGAGTGTAAGAGGCTGAGGGGTGATTATATGGAGGTTTATTAAACCATGAGGGGCATGGATAAGATTTTTTCCCTAGGGTATGGCAGTCCAAAACTTGCAGGCATAAGTTTAAGACGTTAAGGAGGAAAACATTTAAAAGGGACCTGAGGAGCAACTTTTTCACACAGAGGGTTGGTGAACAAGCTGCCAGAGGAAGTGGTGGAGTCTGGTACGACTACACCATTTAAAAGGCATCCGGGTGGGTCTGTGGATAGGAAAGGTTTAGAGGGATATGGGCAAATGGGACTAGTCCAGTTTCGGAAACCTGGTCGGCAGAGATGAGTTGGGCCGAAGGTCCTGTTTCCGTGCTGCACGACTCTATGATCCCAAGTGACTGGATCTCGTTCTTTCCCACCCTGACAGCTGACTGTGAACAAAACCGTCCGTTCCCTTTCAGAGAGCAGTTAGAGTCAACACAGCGCGGAGGTAGACCCTTCGGCCTGACCACGACCGTGCCGACCAGGTATCCTAAATGAGTCGAGTCCCATTTGCTGGCATTATGCCTCTTAAAGGGGGGGGGGTCATTCAAACCAGGCTGGTCAGGGCCTGCAAGTCTATTCCCGTTCACATTCCAGAGTCAATCAGCCTCTCTGCCTGCAGAATTCCGAACAATGGGAAAGGCATGGATCGCGGCCTGTCGTTTGGGCTTATGACCTGCGCAAGGGCTCTGCCCCTTCGCTCGTACCTCCTCGACCCTTCACTGTGCGTGCGACTGTGATCGCGGCAGACCCTCCCTCTACTTTCGAGCCCACCATTGGGGCGAGAGGTCAAAGGGCAGCCTCGGGTTCGGCAGTACGCTCGATCTTTATCCGAGCCCTTTAGCACACGCGAGGGAGAGGCCGGAGACCACTCTAAATTTGGCTCAGACCGGACGAGAGGCCAGGGACGCTCTGGTTTGATTCGATTCAGTTTATTTATTATTACGAGCAGTACGGGCAGAACGAAGTCAGCAAGGACATACGGATCGTAGGATGGGGGAGAAAAAAACTTAGAGGCACACAGGTTATGTTGCACAGGGAAGGTAAACATCAGCAAGGTCGGCGTTATTTGGAGTTGGAGAGTCCTTTCATCAGTCTAATTATGGCCAGGGAGAGGCTGTTCCTCAACCTGCTTGTGCGTGTGTTCAGGCTTCTGTATCTTCTGCCTGATGGAAGAGGTTGACTGAGGTCATTACCAGGGTGCGATGGGTCTTTGATGATATTGGCGGCCTTTCTGAAGCAGCGAACTGTGTAAATGGATGGGAAGGTTGGTTACCGAGGTGGTCTGGGCTGTGCACACCACCTTCTGTAGTTTCTTACAGTCCTGGGCAGAGCAGTTGCTGTACCAGGCCGTTATGCACCCGGATAGAATGCTTTCTACGGTGCGTCTGTAAACGTTGGTGAGGGTGACGTGCCAAATTGCCTTCTCAACCATATCCCTTGTGGCGTACAGCATTTTTATACATTTCGCGTTACAATAAATTGCAGGCAGCATTGTCACTGTCCCTTCACTCTTCATCTATACATCCAATCCTGTGAAACATCTGATTTTTTTTTCCCCTTTATTCATTCACTGGATGACCAGGCAGCGTTTATTGCCCATCCCTAATTGCCCAGTAGTCAGTTAAGAGTCAACCACATCGCTGTGGGCCTGGAGTCACATGTAGGCCAGACCAGGTAAGGATGGCAGTTTCCTTCCCTGAAGGACATTAGTGAACCAGATGGATTTTTCCTGACAATCAGCAATGGATTCACGGTCATCATTTGATTCTTAATTCCAGATATTTATTGAAATCATCTGCTGTGGTGGGATTCAAACCTGGGTCCCCGGATCTGTGTCTCTGGATTAACAGTCCATTGATAATACCACTAGGCCATCGCCTCCTCTTGATCAATGCCAGACCTATGGATAGCTCTATGTTCCCAATGATCTCATGTTGTTTACCAGACATTGTAATCATCAGGACTTGGGATCTTACAATGCATCCCATTAATTCACACTACAAAGTTAACGGTTATATTCTTTTCCAGACATTTCCCAGACTTGCTTCTCTCTAAGGGCTGCTCAAATTCTGGTAGTTATTGCAAATCCCTATCAAATTCTGTTACCCATCTTACATTTCCTGTTGCTGTAATCACAGGAAATACAAAAGGGAGTTAGTTCTTACTAATTGCTATGAGATTCATGATATTAGTTCTACTATAAAGTTAGTTTCATGTAAAGTTTTATGTTTACACCTACTGTTATCATTCCTTATCTAAGGAGTTGAGAGCAGTTACAGTCCCACCTAATCTTGGAGGCTCAGTCAGACATTCCCCCCCATCTTGTCACTGCACTGTAACTCATTCTAGTCACGTACTGCCTCCTGGGATGAAATTTACTGCCCCTACTCTGGCTAACTCTTTTTGCCTGATAAGGCAACGTCTTTCTCATTGATGAGACTAAAACCCAATCACTTTCACAGCTCAACGAGCTTGTCTGACCTCCAGGGTTTTTATGAGTCTTAATCCCACACTTACCATCTGTGTCTGTTATTGCAGGATCCTACTTTTCTGTTTATTGCTTGCTACAAATTTCAGGCTGTCTGTTCTTAACAAACTGCATGCTATAGTAGCTGGAGGAGCACAGCAGGCCAGACAACATCAAAGGAGCAGGAAAGTTGGCGTTTCGGGTCAGGTCAACTCTCCTGCTCCTCTGGTGCTGCCTGGCCTGCTGTGTTCCTCCAGCTCCACACTGTATTATCTCTGACTCCAGCATCGGCAGTTCTTACTATCTCTGAATACTACAGTAGCTGTTTAATTTACAGAACTCCCTGTATATTAATTTGTATGATTTGTAGTTCAAAGTAGATCTTGTTACCTTTGTTTACCTCCTTCTCAATCGTACTATTGTGCTAACTTATGACCTCACTTGAATGTAGGAGCAGGCAAATTAATTCTGTTACCGTAGCATATTTATGCCAATGGCAGGCACTACTGTGGCCATATGATCAGCGGCTAATTCAATACCCACGAAGAGTTTTCTGCTGGCTCTTGACATTGTATAGGTGTGTGTGTGTGTATTTGTGTGTAAGGGAGAACAGTCACAATGGATTTCTGCAGAGCAACAATTCTCTCCTCAATTCGAACTCACGAAGAGCCTGCTGCTGGCTGTCAACGTTGTATCGGTGGGGGGGAGGTGTGTTTGTGTGTGTGTGTGTGTGTGCGCGCGTGTATGTGTGAGGGAGAACGGTCGATGGATTTCTGCGGAGCAACAATTCTCTCCTCAATTTGAACCCACGAAGAGCTTGCTGCTGGCTTTCGACATTGTATCGGGGTGGTGTGTGTATGTGTGAGGGAGAACAGTTGATGGATTTCAGTGGATCAACAATTCTCTCCTCAATTTGAACCCACAAAGAGCTTGCTGCTGGCTGTTAACATTTTCTAGGTGTGTGTGTGTGTGAAAGAGAGAAGAAGCATGGTCCCAATTGATTTCAACAGAGCAACAATTCTCTCTCCTCAATTCGAACCCACAAACAGCTTTCTGCTGGCTGTCAACATTGTCTAGGCGTGTGTGTGTGTGTGTGAGAGAGAGGGAGCAAGGTAGTGATGGATTTCAGCTGATCAACAATTCTCTCTCCCCTCAATTCGAACCCACAAAGAGCTTGCTGCTGGCTCCTGACGTTGTCCATGTACACATTCACCCGGGTGTGGTTTATAAAGATGCACATGCTCGCATGCGTGCGCGTACATACATACACACACACATGTACGCGCGCGGGCACTTATGCACGTGCCCGCACACACACAGATCCCAAATGACTGATTATGGACAGTTGGAAAGTAAACACAGATTTCAACTATCCTCTTTACCCCTTTTTTTGCAAGGCTGTGCTATAATGGAAACTGCCTGATCCTCTGAGTAAGAAGCCTATTGTTTTCTGAGGGACTGAACTGAAACTCCTAAGCTGTAGGAGCAATATGAGAAGACACCAAGTGCTTGCCACTGGATTTAAAGGTGGATGTGGAGTCAGCTCTCTCTCCACGTTTCCAAAGCCGCTCCGAAACAGCTTAGAGTGCAGACATCTCATGAAGCCAAGAAGTAATGAATTCCACATGGCAGTTCAAACCGGAGTTTAAAAAGTAACAAATTATTGCAAACGCAGAAGGTGAAACTGCTTCTGAAATTTGAAGGGGAAATTTGAAGGCCTTCCTGCTCCTCTGATGCTGCTTGGCCTGCTGTGTTCATCCAGCTCTAACCGTGTTATCTCTGAAATTTGAAACTAGCTCAGTGGCCTTCCTCTGTACCTAATATGACCCCGAGAATGTATAATCTCAGAGTAAAAGGAGCCAGAGATGAGGAAGAATTTCTTCTCTCCGAGGGGAATGAGCCTGTGGAATTCTTTACCACAGAGGGCTGTCGGGCTGGGTCATTCAATGCGAAGATTTTTAATCAGAAAGAGAATCGAGGTTCTATATTTTTAAGGTGGGGAGAGAGAGTTTTAATCAGGAAGGGGGAAATCGAGGGGTTATATTCGATGCTGAGAGAGATGTTTAATCAGGAAGGGGGAAATCGAGGGGTTATATTCGATGCTGAGAGAGATGTTTAATCAGGAAGGGAAATCGAGGGGTTATATTCGATGCTGAGAGAGATGTTTAATCAGGAAGGGGGATCGAGGGGTTATAGAGAGGAAGAAAGGCAGGAAAGTGGAGTTGAGGATGATCAGATCAGTCCTGATCTGACAGAATGGGGGAGCAGGACAGGAGGGCTGAATGGCTTGCTTTAGCTCCTTATGTCCTTGTGGCCTCAAAATACCTGAGGCAAGGAAGAGCAGAAAGACTACAACTCCCAGGGGGGCGGGCGCGGCGCATGCGCCCGGCTCGCCCACGTGCCCGCTTGTAGGCGCCAAGGGCGGACTACATCCCCCGGCGGGCCGAGCGCGGGGCATGCGCAGTGTGGCGGAGGCGCTGGTCACGTGTGCGGGGGCCGGGAAGATGGCGGCGGCGTGGCGATGGGCAGCTGCTGGGAGGGCCCTAATCCGGGGCCAGGTAAGTGCTGCAGGGTCTACCCCCGAGGGGGTCAAGGGAGGCCGAGCATCCAGCCTTCCTCAAGGAGCAGCTCATGTTAAAGAGGCATCATCTATTAAAGGGACATCACCTGTTAAAGGGCTATCATTTCTTAAAGGGGCATCACCTGGTAAAGGGATATCATTTCTTAAAGGGGCATCACCTGGTAAAGGGATATCATCTCTTTAAAGGGGCATCACCTGGTAAAGGGATATCATCTCTTTAAAGGGGCATCACCTGTTAAAGGGATATCATCTCTTAAAGGGGCATCACCTGTTGAAGGGATATCATCTCTTAAAGGGGCATCACACATTAAAAGGGCAAGTCTTAAATAGGCATCACCTGTCAAAGGGATATTACCTCTTGCTCTCGAGGCTGATTCCGGCGATGGCAGGTATGGGGAGAGATTGACTAGGTTGGGATTGTTTATGCTAGAGTTCAGATGAATGGCGGGGGGGTGTGGGCAGGGGATCTCATAGAGACTTATAAAAAGCTTGTGATTTCAAATAAACCTGTTGGACTATAACCTGGTGACTTCTAACTTACCCCTTGAAGGGGCATGCCCTCCTTAATTAAACAGGCAGTCCCATCCCTTAAAGGGTCCTGTATCTCCCCCTCACCCCAAAACCTTCCTTGAAAGGATGTTGGCCCAGTGGACTCTTCCTGTGCCATGGGACTCAGTGGAGCAGGCTGGAGGACCAGGGGCTGCAATGCCACCCTGTGGTGGGTGGTCACTACTGCGGCGTGATATGTTGACATAGCCATTTAATTTCACTCACCTCACCTCCCCCTGTTGAGAATTGCGTCAGGGTGGGAGGTGCATGCAGATAGTGGGGTTGAGATGGTGGTGTGTTTTGTTTGTGTGGCTCTGTCACTCTTCCCCCCACTTTTCTCTCTTACTCCCCCTTTCTCTCTCTCTCGCCCCTCCCCCTTTCTCTCTCTCTCATGCCACCCCCGTTTTTTTTCCCTCTCTCTCGCTCCTTCCCTGCCTCTCTTTAACTGGCAGTAACACTTTCCTCTTTCTCTCTCTGCCCGTCTCCAGGTCTTTGGTGCGACCCTGACCATCCGCCGGGAGCTGTCGGCCTTTGTCGTAAGTCTGAGTGCCGCTGGATAAAAACGATCCCAGGCCATTCACCTTCACTGCTGCTAGCCCTCCCTCCCTGGCTGAAAGGCTTCCTGAAGATCTTGGCTGGGAGACTTGTCGCTGTCATTGAGGGCATAAGACAGGCTGCTCGATTGATCGCCTCCCCACCCTAACCCTGCTCTTTTAAACAGAAAATAGAGCTCCCTCTACACTGTCCCCCATCAAACACTCACAAGACAAGACAGGACAGCATGGGGTTAGATACAGAGTAAAGCTCCCTCTACACTGTCCCCGCATTAAACACTCCCAGGACAGGGATAAGATACAGAGTAAAGCTCCCTCTACACTGTCCCTGCATTAACCACTCCCAGGACAGGGATAGATACAGAGTAAAGCTCCCTGTATGCTGTCCCCGCTTTAACCACTCCCAGGACAGGGATAAATACAGAGTAAAGCTCCCTGTACGCTGTCCCCGCTTTAACCACTCCCAGGACAGGGATAGATACAGAGTAAAGCTCCCCTGGAGCTTTTTGTGAAAATGTGAAGTTGAGAATAGTAACAATGAGGTAGCCTCCTGCTGGGACTCCGTCTCGACATCAAACTCAAATCAAGTGGAATGGAACCTTACGGAGCGAAACAGAAACTGACGACGTTGAAACAACACTGTCTGGGACAATGATCCACTCCAGGCACCCCTCCCCCTGCAGTGCTTCCTGG